ATGTGGTGATATTCTATGATTATGGATGAAATCATGTTTATTATTGAAAATTATAGAAATGATGATGAAAGTTGATCTCCAATTTGTACATTAGAGAGAAAACCCCAAAATTTTTCCTAAACCCTAACTTTGAGATTTATTCAATAAAAGAGGGGTTTTGCTTAATTGGTTTCAAAAACATGAAAATTGAATGTATTTATTTAACTTTAAAGGTGGAATGTAAGATTTGAAGCTCTTCCTACTACAACATATCAAAGTTTTAGAGACCAAATGTTTTGGTCTTTAAAAGTGAAAGACATTTAGGGACCAATTTCTATCGTCATGAGGATAGTCGCTAAAAGGTTGTCCCAAAAAGTCAAAAATATGGCTTTTAGCGACAAAATTTTGAAAATGTCACTAATAAATAAACTTTTAGGGACAGCATAAATTGGTCTCAAAATGGTTTTTTTTTTAGATCAAAAATTTGGTCCCAAAAGGATAATAATTCATCACTAATGTCTAATTTTCGTTGCTAAAATTATAATAACGGCGCTTTTCGCAATAAAAATATTTGGTCCTTAAAAAATAATTTTGTCCCTAAATTTTGGTCTCTAAAACCTTAATTTTTTGTAGTGTCCCCTATATAATCCTTGATGATAATGAGAATTGCTTATAAGATATCCTTCATTATTGATGTGAGAAATGTTGAATTGTTATGTTTTGGAATTATCTTAGGGAAAATTAATGGTTTCAAAATTCATGCATCATATGCATCTTACATCCTCTCTTGACATCATAATTAAATGAAGGTTAAAAGGTTGTAAAAGGGTAAATTGTCTATGAGTCCAGGTAGTGAGTCGGGTTGAGTTGAGTTGTGTATTGTAATTGGTACCCGCGCGGGGATTCAAGATGTCCAATTGCCCTGTCTGCGCATATCACCGAACAAATGTGCGAAAATATTTTTGGGTGTCCACGAGCTTACCTTTTTTGGAGCCGGCAAATGTGGAAAAACATAGTTTTGGGTGTCCACGTCCCCAACGTTTATAGAGCCGGCAAATGTGGGACTATTTTCTATATACAAAATTATAACTATATATATATTTTTTGAATTTCAACTCTTACTTGGGATGTTGTAGTATGTTTACCATCTGAAGTGAGTGTGAGAAAGATAGAACAAAGTTTATGCATTGCATCTTTTCTTTTACATACATAGACACTCGTACCCATTTTCATTTCTATAATTCAAATGTTACATTGCATGATCATATGTTTTTCAATTGACTATATAACCTGTTAAATTCATCACCTACTGGGCTTATGCTCACCACAAAAATAACAATTTTAGGAAATGAAGATGACGTATCCACTAAATGATGGCATTCATAAAAAAGGACTCTTTTGGAGTTTGATGACATATCTATTGAAGTTTTGTTGGGTTTGACTATGATGATTGTAATTAAAGGTTGATTTTGTGTGTTAATGTAGTAAAGGGCATATTTTGGAGGGAGGTCCATTTGGACTTTATTTTTTTATTTTTTTGTATATGTTTCTTGCCTATTGAACTATTTTGCTTGTTGGGGATGTAAACAATATTGTAACTTTTGGGAAATAGCTCAATGGAAAAGAATGCTATGATCTTGTTACTATGTTTATTCTTTTTTATGCGTTGTGTGTTGGTAATGCTTGGGAGAACAGGATCTAGAATGGTTCTTTCAAGGACATTACAGTTAGTGTGATTTACCCTAGATTTTTTAGTTGTCTTTTAGTAATGAGTATGATAGAGAAACAGTAAAAAGATGCGTATCTTACACTTTTTTTTTTTAACTACACCACAATAATTTGTAACAAAATTATAATAATTCATAATTTTTCTCATTATAATAGTTCAAAACCTTTTAATATTCATAGCATAACTACAATAATTCATAATTAAGTCTTACTAACACCACAAAAAATCATCTTCTAATGGTAAGAAAGTGTGTGTTATAAATTTTTTCTCAAATAAAAGAGGGAAAAAAAAAAAAAATCTATTGCGGCGTTTTTCAAAACGCCACTGTAGTTATATATTTAAAATAGCTAAAAAGCTATTACAACGTTTTTGAAGCGTCGCTGAAGGCCTGTGTGACGTCATGTTACCGTTGATTATCACATTTAGCGGCGTTTTTTTAAACGCCGCCTATACTAATTTAACGACGTTTTTAAAGCGTCATAAACTTACAGCGACGGCCGCGTCTTCGGCGTTTGGTGATAAGCGTCACTAAAGGAATTAGCGGCGTTTTTCAGACATATAGCGGCGTTTTTAAAACGCCGCTAAAAGCCTTTTTTCCAGCAGTGAGAACAGGAGCTAGAATGGTTCTTTCAAGGGAGTTACAGTTAGTGTGATTTACCCTAGATTTTATAGTTGTCTTTTAGTAATGAGTATGATAGAGAAACAGTAAAAAGATGTGTATCTTACACTCTTTTTTTTTAACTGCACCACAATAATTTGTAACAAAATTATAATAATTCATAATTTTTCTCATTCTAATAGTTCAAAACCTTTTAATATTCATAGCATAACTACAATAATTCATAATTAAGTCTTACTAACACCACAAAAAATCATCTTCTAATGGTAAGAAAGTGTGTGTTATAAATTTTTTCTCAAATAAAAGAGGGAAAGACTAAAGAGAGAAAACCGAAAATGAGAGATAAATCAAAGTGAGATGAATGAGGAAAAAAAAAGAGTAATAATTAATTATTTGAAGGAAAAAATACCTTTAAAAGGGACCTTGTGTGTTTATAGTATTTTAAGGAAACTCCCTTGCCTAGAACTATCATTCTAGACAGTCTAATGGTATCCTATATCTTGGGCATAGCTGTGTGGCTTAATAGGAAAAGAAAAAGGTGAATACTTCCACTAGTTGGGTAGAAGTAGACAACCCTAATGAATCAACTATGAAGGTGGCTAACATATATGTATAATCCAACAGAAGATTGATGTATTTTTGACCTAAAAAGTCTAAAATTTGGAATGATTATCACAAAAATTTAGAAATTAGATTGATGATCTGAGTGCCTTATAATAAAGTGATTTTTCAAATCTCAAATTCATCATATATATTTATATATCACATTAGATTTGCTATCTCATTTGTTCTCATTACATTGGTTGAATGAGTTTCATTACTAATGTCTATTATTAATACAGTAATGACACATTACATGATAAACTAAACAATAATGCTTGAGACCACTAAAAGTAGTGCTCTAAAAGCACCACTAGTGATGTGGTAATGGACGGGACCCACTGCTTGTGTCTTGTTTTTTTTTTTTTTTTTTTTTTACATGCTTGCCAACTCATTAGTAGTGCTTTAGAACACCACTTTTAGTGAGATGTATCATTACCCTAAACTAAATAACTATATAAATATAATTATTATAACATTAATCTTTGTACAAACTTCGACCTATCACCTAATACAGAGCATGTGTCCCTAATGAATCAACTATGAAGGTGGCTAACATATATGTATAATCCAACAGAAGATTGATGTATTTTTGACCTAAAAAGTCTAAAATTTGGAATGATTATCACAAAAATTTAGAAATTAGATTGATGATCTGAGTGCCTTATAATAAAGTGATTTTTCAAATCTCAAATTCATCATATATATTTATATATCACATTAGATTTCCTATCTCATTTGTTCTCATTACATTGGTTGAATGAGTTTCATTACTAATGTCTATTATTAATAGAGTAATGACACATTACATGATAAACTAAATAACTATATAAATATAATTATTATAACATTAATCTTTGTACAAACTTCGACCTATCACCTAATATAGAGCATGTGTATTAAACAACCAAAATTTTGTTTTTCAAAAATTAAACTTATTTTTTGAAAAATGAAAACTCGAAACGTACGTATATGATTAGTTTTTTTTTTTTTCCAGTATTTTTCCATGGTTAAGGTTGTACATTTGACCATTTTCAAATTCTGTAACATTGAGAACTTTGTGCATGGGACTGCTTTCAACACTTTGGCCCCCTCCAAATAAATTTTCTGACTTCGTCCTGAGAACTGAGATGAGTAGTAGATTGAACTTTAATGAGTTGAGCTTAAACAATTTGATTTTTTTTAATACTAATAGTAGATATAGCTTATCGAGAAAAGAAGTAGGTTGATGAAGTTTAACTTGAAAATTTAATGAGTTTAAAATTGTGTTTAAGCTTAATTTTTATATAATGAACTGAAGTTGAATATAAGTCAAACACGAGTTCAATCTAAATTTAAGAGAACTTGACAATCCAGTGGGGGCCACTATGGGGCTCGCTTTGATGATCGGTTGTTCATATTTTGTAAAGTTCTCCATGTATATTGCCTATAAATTAAAAAAAAAAATTAGGTTAAATCGATAATCATTTTTTTTTCTGTTCAATTTATCATGTTTGTTTTCAAAAAAATAGATGACTCGTCTTTTAAAAGCATACTTATCGTTTATTTTTTTTAAAATCAAATAAAATAAAATAAAAGGTTGTGATTATCTGATCGACCTAATCTTCTTTTTTTTTATAAATAATATAATAATAAAAAATCTTATAAAACAAACAGTTCACATTGGCTTATCGTCTATTACTTAGTGATTCATTATTACTTAACCTTACTTGCACGAAAAAAATTAATGACAGTTTCCAATACCTTTTCATCTTCTCCGCTGCCTTTTGGATTCAGCAATAAACCACATTAATTAATCAAACTTGTGCTTAAACATATACAATCGGAGACAATCATATTCTATATCCTCTCCTTTGTAATGTGACAAAGTAAGATCAAAATTTAATGTGACTGACCGATCAACATCTCAGACTAAACATAATGTGACTTCTTAATAATGTGAGTGGAAGAATAGATAACATCAGCTCAACTAGCTGTTACATAAAATACTTTCTCCTCTTTTCAGACCATCTCTATAAATTCATTCCTCTCCAACTTTTCATCATCATATCTATCTGTGTCTCTTTATATATCATGGAGCTCAAATACATCATACTTTTCTTGCTCTCAACCACATCTTTCCTGGAAAATGCAACTGCAGCTAGGGACCTGCCCATTGAACAGGGCTTGTTCGCCACACTGGAATCCGATGGAGGTTTGGTAGATTGCTGGAATGCGCTGGCGGAGATTAAAACATGTTCGAATGAGATTATTGTTTACTTTGTAAGCGGCACCACCAATATAAGCCCTCCCTGTTGCAAAGCCATTAGTATGATCACTCACCATTGTTGGCATTCCATGTTGACTGCCCTCGGTTTCACAACCGACGAAGACAACGTGCTTCGAGGCTACTGTGATGGCTCCTCTGCCCCTGCAGCTGCTGCTACTCCGCCAGTCCAACCTCCGGTAGATTTAATGGGTGATGTTTTAGTCTGATAAGATTAATATGCTGGACTGTTAATTACCATAGTTGGGATTGCTAAGATTACTTAACTTTCATGTTTAGTTTTGGTTTTGGTTTGTGTTGTCTTAAATCAAATTCTCTGGTGGAGTTTTCGATCGTCAAGGGTGATTGGTGTTCTCTTCCACGTTGTTATGGGTGTGTATATATATATATTTTTGAATTTAGATCCTCTCCATTTCATTCTATTCATGGAGATCTCTACTGGTGACAAATCATAAGGTATAAGAAAATGAAATTTTTTTAATAACAGAATCACGTGTCAAAATGACATGACAATGGTCTTGCGGTATAGTGATAATTTGATAGCATTGAAGTATTGTTCTACGTCATTTATTATTTGACACTTGTCTATTTGTTCATCAAAAAACCAACAAAAAATATTGAATCCCACTGTTTTAACCGATCAATATCATATCAAGTTCGAACACCACATAACAGAGCAAAAAAATAATCTCCTTCTAACAAATAAAATGCATCTTGATGTTTTAAAGTATTTTTAAAGCATAGTGATTCGCACAAGATAACCATGATGTATCAGTTCTCAAAAGTAATTATGAACTTCTATTTAAGAGGTAAGAAAATTTCCAAGTAAAAGTTGTCATCTTAAGTCATGCAATGTATGTACTCTCTAATAAATACCCACATGTTTGTTTTAGTTTTCATTACACAAGCAACTTTAAGATTAGTTATCCTTAAACGGTAAACGTAACATGTACCAGTATGTCCAAATTACTAATACCCTATGGTGTTGTTTGTTTGAAGGGATGCAACTATGGAATAAGACTAATAGTTCATCCGGACTAATAGTTCATCCGGACTAATATCTAGAGAATCATGTAAGAGTGGTAGATTTCATATTTTGCATTCACATGTCTTCACGTGTGTCTTGTTAAACTTTCAACAATTTGTAATCATATTTATTGGTTAGAACATAAACACATTATTAAAGCATAGTGATTCACACAAGATAACCATGATGTATCAGTTCTCAAAAGTAATTATGAACTTCTATTTAAGAGGTAAGAAAATTTCCAAGTAAAAGTTGTCATCTTAAGTCACATGCAATGTATGTACTCTCTAATAAGGCCAAGTTTGGCAATCTAAAAATAATCTATCTTTTTATTTTTTTATCTTTTTTCCATCACATCACCTCTCTACTTTTCTGCACATCTTTTCGTAAAAAGACAAAAAATAGTCATCCCAAATAACCCCTAAATACTCACATGTTTATTTTAGTTTCATTGCGCAAGTAACTTTAAGATTAGTTATCCTTAAAAAGGGAAACCTAACATGTACCAGTATGTCCAAATTACTAATACCCTATGGTGTTGTTTGTTTGAAAGGATGCAACTATGGAATAAGACTAATAGTTCATCCGGACTAATAGTTCATTGTTTAATTGAAAATTTTTGTATCGGACTATAAATCTCAAATCTATGAGATTATTCTATCCCATAGGAGGGTGGGACACAATCCCTAAGATAACTCATCTCATAGGATTAGATAGTGAAATTAAATTTTTGACCCTTTACTATTTAATATCTTTTTAAATATAAAAATTATTCATTAAATTGTTTATACTATTATACTTGTTAAATTATTTATTTTAATAGTATGGTATAAATATATTTAGTAAAGTAAAATAAAATTTAAAAATCTCAACTACAAATTAAAATAGATTTATGTAATTTTTATTAATATTCTATTTATTTAATTTTTTAAAAGTTCTAGTAAAAAAGTAAAATAAAATTTATTATTCAAATTTAATATTCCTATTATTTAGTAAATAATTCAAAAGGAAAAAATAGTCTTTTAAACATTTATCATTCTCTATAATATTCCAAACAAACATTAGGATCCAATAGAATAATTCAATGCAAACATCTAATCTCATGACTAAACAAACGTAGGATACAAATCCAATCTAACCAAATAGACAATGTATCCCAGGACTAACAGTTCGGTAGATTACAATCTCCCTTATTCAATCTGTCCAAACAAACATGTCGTATGACTAGAACTTCTAAGAATAAAGGACCAAGAACTACCAATCTCCATGCTTCTCTTTAATAGCATATTTTATTTTTTATTTTTTAAAATCAATTTTGATTCTATGAACTTATTTTAGGTAAACAATAAATAATGTAAACAGGACAGTTTATTTTACAAGATAAATTAAATAGCCCTAAAGTAGATCTCCAAGGTTGACTTTTAGGGCATCCTACTAAAATAGTACAGACTCTACATCTAGACAATCAAATAATATTTTTGAAGAACCAAAAATAAAATGGTCCATTACAAGTCTCTAATATTATATATATATATATATATTCATAAATTTAGTTCTCTGATATTAACAAGTATATGTCAAGCATCTTTCCTTCTTTCTACTAATCAATTACAAATAAAGACTAGAAATTGGCAATAGCATGTTTTCGCAACAAAAAAAGTATGAAGCCACTCAAGGAACAATAAAATCATCAAAAGATAAACAAACAGCAAAAGTAAATGAAAGTTACAATTTATTTTTGATAAATAAATCGGGAAAGTTGTATTTCTTGCCATTGATTTCTTCCTGTGCATTCAGAGACAAAATGTGGATACACTGAACCCCGAACCACACACAATGAGAGTTCACCTCTTTCCTTTCTCAAACCTATTCATTTCCCTTGAGGATGTTGTATTTGCAGAGCGGACATGTTGCGTTCATCTTAAGCCATTTCACGATGCATGAAGAATGGAAATGATGGTTACAGGGAAGAGCATGAAGCTCTGCTCCATCCTCGTATGGGTTGAGACATATAGAACATTCCTAGAAAAAACAAAGGACAAAAAATTGAAACTGAGTCTTCCAATTCAAGTGCAGAGGGAAAGTACTAATGTGTCCATGACAAAAGTAGCAACTGACAAATATTCATACTGATCAATATCCATTTATGTTTTTTTGGGTATAAATCCACATTTACATATATCTTCCAGTCACTATTTACAATCCATAATAGCATCTGATTTGGTGCTGTCTCACATTCCATGTGTGCATGGCTGTTTGAATCCATAATTTCATGTTAACTCCTCTCTACATCTACTAGCCATTAACACATACCCATAAAACCGCATGTAATTGGCCATGCTTCGTTCATGGTTTGATATTCTGGTGTCCTAGGCGTAGAGGAAGCACACCAATCCATCCTGAACTTGGTGGTTGAACTCTACTGCAGTGATGATGTTTGAATGGTGGAGACTTGTTGGGTGTTCTGGCTTCATGCTATTAAATGCTCTTGACAGAATTCAGGGGTTTTGGTTGCAAATTTGCAATAAGAAAGCAAGTTTTTTGTGGGATTGTGTCTCTTGTGCAATATTTTGGGTTAGTTGGTTGAAGCGTAATACTAGGATTTTTTAGGAAAAGAGTGAGGTTGATTCTTTATGGGAGAAAGTTCATCATTTCGCCTATTTTTGGGTTTTGGTATTTCCCCCTTTTGAGGGGATACCATTGTTCTTGATTTCTAGAGATTGGACGATGGTGTGTGATTTATATTGAGATTCTTTCTTTTTGTTCATCTCTGGACGACTCCTTGTTCTCCCATCCTTGTACTGCTGCTTCTTTTTTTGTTCTTATTTTGTTGCCAATCAAAATAAATAAATAAATCAATCAAAAAGTAAGGTGCAACCAGACCAAACATCAAACTCATAATCTCCTAAACATGTCATGACAAGGGTAAACTTTAGTGCTCAGGACTATCCACAACATGGACCCTGTTGAAAATGGCAGTTTTACTAATTGCTAATAATTTGATTTGCAGAATATTTATGTTTAGTTCCCAAAAGAAATGAGCTAACATAGCCCATAGTCCGTACAACACTGAATATAACAAAATGAGGACTTATGTCCAACACTTTACAAGTTTGTTGGGAAGTTTTGTTACGTTGGGAGTTACAGGATTGGGAGTTGATTGAGCTGATGGGGTTTCTTGAAAGGTTGTATGGGATATCGAGCATAGGGTAGAGGGAAAATTCTCCAAGATGGAGGTTAACTACATCGAGAAGTTGACAGGTGAAGCCTTTCTATGAGCCTTTGATTGGTTGCCATAATTCTTCTACTCTTTGGAAACCAATCTGGGGATGCCTCCCAAGGTGGCTGTTTTTGCTTGGTGTGTAGCTCATTAAAAAAAAAAAAACAAATAAAGAAGAAGATCCGAAGAAAGCAGGTGATTGTGAAACGGTGTTAAATGTGCAAACATGACAGAGAATTGGTGAATCACCTCCTATCTGTAGCCAAGCAGCAAGAGATCTTTAGAGTTTGGTCCTTCATTGGTTTGGGGTGGAGTGGACTGGCCATTTTTCCTTACAGGGGGAAGTGGAGGAAGAACTTGTGGCTATTGATTCCCCAATGCTTCTCATGGATTATTTGGGATTAGCAGAATTGTAGGTCTTTTGAGGGTACAAAAGTTCCTTCTTATAGGACAAAGAAATCTTTTACAAGTTTTTTTTATGTTGAGTTGGGAGTCGAGAGTTGTTAATCCATCTCTCAAGTTATTGATGGACTTTCCGTTTTGAAGGAGACAGGTTCACTTAGTGTGATTTAATTTAAGAGTCAATCCTTCCATGTCGAGGATTAATATAATATCTTGGGAAAAGCAATTTCTTCATGTTTCTTGGCCTTGTCTTTATTGGGTTGTCTCAAAGCATGCCCCTATCATGCTTGATTGTGGGAGAATTAGATTTGGGCCTATCCCATTTCGCTTTGAAAATATAAGGCTCAGAAAGTAAGGCTCTCTAGATTTGAATAAAGGGTGGTGGAAGGATTACAGAGTGGTTGGCTCTCCCCATTTTGCTTTGAAAATATATGGCTCGGAAAGTAAGGCTCTCTAGATTTGATTAAAGGGTGGCGGGAGGGTTACAGAGTGGTTGGCTCTCCCCATTTTTTGCCCAATAAATACCGCTACAAACGAACCAAAATGTTCATGAACAACAACTCGACTCGGTTAAGCTAGGCTCATTATACTTGTATCAGTATATTTACCAAATTTGTACCAGATGTGAACACCAATCGATAATTTATAAAGATGGACATTATATAAAGAGTGGGATGCATTATTCCTCAGTACTCTTGCCGATGTGGGACAAGAGAGCCATACTTTGTTTTAAATCACCGGCATACTATTTTATAAGAGATAACAGGCCTCATGGAGCTATGTCCTGTCGATGTGGGACAGAATAGGGACAGCACACTTACTCATCAACAATGCCATGCCATCAACAAAATGTTATGTGAACATGTAAATGAACTTTTCATTTTCGCCCATTCTAACATATTTTCAATTGTCTTCCAATGAAATGGTATTATTATAATTCTACTTATTTATATATGTATATATTTCTGAACACACATAATCCCATGAGTTATATATACAGATAGGCACATCACCTATCGTTTCTTCCACATAAAGCACACAGTTACTTTCAAGACAAACACTACAAAATCTCCAAGTCTTCTTTGCAGAGATGCACCTCTTTCTAAGGAGGAAGAAAACGGGTAGCTTTAAGCGAACAAGAAACTGGGTTAGAACAAGAAAAGGCAATTAAGAAATTGGGTTTGGTTTGGTTCCAAATTTCAAGGAACCGTAGGCAGTGGTTTGGTCGTTGGTTACTACTAAACCGAAACATGCTCACCCCTAGTAGCTTAGAAAAAGAAACATCAATTCGGATAGTCTCAGACTTCATTGAATCAAACTTACCCAAACTCAGTTCCCCTCCAACCCCCACAATTTCACCATAAACCCACATTTTCAACTCTACAGGAATCATGGGGTGCAAACAAGCAGTTCCATTGTTCTCACTGTTCGGCTGGTTTGACGCTCAAAGTTCATTCCCATTGAACCAAGATGTAAAATTTGATGTATATTATTGATTGATGTATTGATTGTTGATATTTGATTCTGTTACAATTGATTGATTATATAGATGTAGGTTAGATGGTGGTAGGTGAGGAGTAGGTGAGTGTAGTAGGTGAGTGTGTGGTAGGTGATGGTAAGTGTGTGGTAGGTGATGGTAAATTCTAACAGCCCCCCGCAAACTCAAGGAGGATAGAAACTAACCAACTTGAGTTTGAAGAGAGGAACAAAACAAGAAAATACATAAAAATAAAAAAGGATAGGAGACACTGTATGGTCGTGTCAGACCGTTGGTGAAGACACTGGATGGTGGTGTCATAACGAT